TATTAAAAACTTTGTCATGACACCTTTGCATCTATATTAATGAAAAGAGAAGTTAAACAGTTTCAATTTTTTACTAGTCAAATGACAAAGGACACTGAAATAGACAATAATAGCCACAGGAAAACTGTGGTAACTGAGATACTGAACTATTATTTTGGTTTCTTCTAGTTACATAAGAACCATGGTTTTTATCTAAGATACTTTAAAGTATCTTTCCACATACAAATTTTAGACAAACTAGTGAACAACTGAATGATTCCTCACAAATCCAATTTAAAGTTAATGTAAAGGTAATGACTTTGATGTGAAAGTACACATCTCAAATTAGTAGGAAAAATGAATGGACATGCCCCCTTGATTAATTTCTCACCTGAGAAGCCCAACCAACATTTTTCACAAAAACAGATTTGACAAGTTGGGCTGAATTTGGACTGCATTCCGTTAGATGAACAGAGGAGCACGTCTTTTCAACAGTGTTAGTCAGAAACGTAGGCTTTTCATAAGACACCACCTAAAACCCAGAGATGCACAGAATTAACAGCCTTGGCATTAATCCTCCTGATGTAGTGGTCAATTGCCATCTGTTCATGTATACAGGCAGGGTTAGCCTCTATGCTTCATTTAACAGCATTACAGTGTAAAAACCCCACAGGGACACAACTTTGTTATCAGTTCAGTCAGGTAGAAATGGTCAGATTCTGTACTAGGGACATAAACTACACAGAGAGATGCAGATCCAACAAATGTAGATTGATGTATATTCAATGAAGCTCACAATACAAACTCAGTGTGCCAAGACCCCAGTAGGATTCAGTCAGGTGAGGCAGTTATATCAGGAACCAAAGCTTGGTGGGCCTTTTAAACCAGATGAAATTGCTCACAAAGCCTTATTGGCTACATGTATATCTTTACTTACCCTTTCTTTATATACACATTAACACTTGATTATTTCAGAACAACATCAACTGCCACTACCCTTTGTGACACCATTTGTTATACAGCACCAGGGCACATCAGGGCTCTCAAACTGAAGACTGTGCTAACACAAGTAAGCAGTTTTCAAACTCTGTTCCCAGGAGTCACCTGTGGTAAAGTTTTGGAGAGTTCTGATTTTTCAGGTGCTCTTCAATCCAGATATCAAAAGTTAGTTAAAATCAAAGTTAACATTTCTAGTCAGTATCCTCACAAATAGCTAATAAAAGCCTATGCCCATACAAATGTAATTCCAATAATTCAAGTAAAACAGCAATATGGGAGACTGGAATCCATGGTACATCCTTGTGTACGTACAGGAGCACAGTTTGGAGTCTGAACTGGAGTAGAACTGGCAGCTTTATTTCGATCCAATGCCACAACTTCTTTTGGGTAGTTTGTCTTGTCCAACAGTGGAGGTGCTACAGCCTGTGGTGATTCACTATTACCAGGTCTTCTGGAAAAATAATGAGAAAAACAGGGAAAAGGTCTGTCCAAAAGGGATTAAAAAAGCAAGGGAGGAGATGTAGCTCTTCATTTTACCATGGACCGTCCAAAGCACCTAAGGGCGGGAGTCTTCTATATAACGGTTTTTCAGTTGAAATATATAAGTATTCAATAAATATTCAATAAATACATAAATGTTCAAATACATCAGTATTTTGAACTGAAAGATATTACCTTCCAACAATTATTGGAAAAAATGGAGCACTGCCACTCCTTTTCTCTTCTTCCAAAACGGCACATTCCAGTGCAAGGCATATACGATGTCCCTGAAATGAGGAGTTTATTAGTATTAATTTGAGAATTGTATAACTATTTCATACACATTTAGTGTGGCAAATTTGTGAGCCCACACAAGGAAATTTCAGTGGTGCTGAATTTTTCAAGCTGTATAAAGTAGCTTCATCTGTTGTGTTTAATTATTTCACCAGACACACAGACCTGCTTTACACACTAGTAAGAATTTCCTCTTACTATGCATGAATAGTAAGCAATTAGTCTTGCTTCTGAGGGATTGTGACCATAACCTCTACCCTGATATTTGCCCTTCAAAAAAAACACCATCCTCCCTCCTTAATAGTGCAATGAAAAACATGGAAAGCAACAGGAAGCACATTTGTGAAAGGGAAGGTGAATTTTCAGGAAGTTGTTTTGCACTGGAAAAGGTCTATGTAAAACACCTTACCTCATTTGCATGATCCATATAAACCTGGATTTCCTTCTTCAACCCTGCTTCACTTTCTCCTTTCAAAGTGAAGGATTTCCCTGACTTTTCAATCACACGAGTTACACCACCTGTCTTATGGATCTTTGCTCCTGCAAGAAAACGTGAACACTTTCAGTGTGAGCTGTATAAAATAACAATTAACCATGGAAGGCTTGAAGAAGGGTCATGCCACTTACTAAGTTAACTATCAAAAGTAGATGTAAAGAAGAGCTCACGAATAAAAAACCAAAGTATAATTTAAATAACACTTTTGC